GAAACAGGTAGAGAAGGAGAAAGAAGAAGAGGGAAGGAAGGAAAGAGGGAGGGAGGAAGGAAGGAGAGAAAGAAAGGTGCAGGGAAGGGGCTGGAGAGCAGATCTCCCCACCCACAGTGGTCCACGCTCTTGTTACATCTATATAAATAAAAATGTAATGTTCGTTTGTGGGATTAACAGAACTCAAAAACCACTGGACGAATTGACACCAAATTTGGACACAAGACACCTAACAACCCAATGTATGTCCTTCACTAAAAAAAATGATTTTGTCATTTGGGAGTTGTAGTTGCTGGGATTTATAGTTCACCTACAATCAAAGAGCATTCTGAACCCCACCAATGATGGAATTGAACCAAACTTGGCACACAGTTCTCCCATTACCAACAGAAAATACTGGAAGGGTTTGGTGGGCAGTGTCCTTTGGTTTTGGAGTTGTAGTTCACCTACATCCAGAGAGCACTGTGGACTCAAACAATGATGGATCTGGACCAAACTCTACACAAATACTCAATATGCCCAAATGTGAACACTGGTGGAGTTTGGGGAAAATAGAATCTTGACATTGGGAAGGGGTTTTTTGGCGGGTGGGGTTTCATAGGAGCAAGGCATACATCCTTGGAGGGGTTAATTCCATTTGGCTGTTAGGAGAGCTAGGAGTCCCTTTTGGCCCTGGCCTGTCCTGAGTAGCCTTCCTGAGTGGGAAGGCTAATTGCATTTCAGAGGCACTTAGAGGCTCGCTGCCTGCTGAGCTCACCCAGACGCCAGACGCTTGATGGATGAGTTGGGTCAGAAAAGGCCTCTTTCTCCCCCTATCCTAATCTTATTGTGTAAAGGGTGGGGTGGGGTGGGGGGGGGTGATAAACCAAAGGTCTCCATTGATCTGGTGGTCGAGCATATCTGCAAGGAAGGCTTGATGAATTCTGCAGTTCCAAAAGTGAAGAATGCACTCCTATCTATCTATCTATCTATCTACCTGGGGGTCGCGACTCCTGCGGGGGTTGCAAGGGGGAGTTAAAGGGGTCGCCAAAGACCACCACAAAACACAATTTTTTCCATTGGTGATGTGGTTCTGTGTGGGAAGTTTTGCCCAGTTCTGTCATTGGTGATGTTCAGAACGCTCCTTGATTGGAGGTGAACTATAAATCCCAGCAACGACAACTCCCAAATGTCAAGGTCTATTTTCCCCCAAACTCCACCGGTGTTCCCATTTGGGCATATGGAGTATTCGTGCCAAATTTGGTCCAGATCCATCATTGTTTGAGTCCACAGTGCTATCTAGATGTAGGTGAACTACAACTCCCAAACTAAAGGTCAGTGGCCACCAAACCCTTCCTGTATTTTCCATTGCTCGTGGGGTTCTTTGTGGGAAGTTTTGCCCAATTCTGTCATCGGTGATGTTCAGAATGCTCTTTGATTGTAGGCGAACTACAAATCCCAGCAACTACAACTCCCAAATGACAAAAACAATCCCACCAGTATGCAAATTAGGGTGTATCGGGCTATTTTGCCTTATTTGGGTCATGGGGGATCTCTATGGGAAGTTTAGCACAATTTTATTGTTGGTGGGGTTCAGAATGCTCTTTGATTGGTGGTGAACTATAAATCCCAGCAACTACAACTTCAAAATGTTAAGGTTTGTTTTCCCCAAACTCCACTACTGTTCATGTTTGGGCGTATGGAGTATTCGTGCCAAGTTTGGTCCAGTTCCATCCTTGTTTGACTCTACAGTGCTCTCTAAATGTAGGTGAACTACAACTCCCAAATTCGTCAATGCCCAGCAAACCCTTTCAGTATTTTTTTGTTGTTGGTTGCGGGAGTTCTGTGTGCTGAGTTTGGTTCAATCTCATTGTTGGTGGAGATCAGAATGCTCTTTGATTGTAGGTGAACTATAAATCCCAGCAACTACAACTCCCAAATGACAAAAGTAAATGGACACCAAGCCCTTCCAGTATTTTCCATTGGTCATGGGGTTCTGCGTGGGAAGTTTTGCCCAATTCTGTTGTTGGTGAGGTTCAGAATGCTCTTTGATTGTAGGTGAACTATAAATCCCAGCAACTACGACTCCCAAATGACAAAAGTAAATGGCCACCAAACCCTTCCAGTATTTTCCATTGGTCGTGGAGTTCTGTGTGGTAAGTTTTGCCCAATTCTGTCATTGGTGATGTTCAGAATGCTCTTTGATTGTAGGTGAACTATACATCCCAGCAACTACAACTCCCAAATGACAAAATGAGGAACTGTATTAAGGCTGAGGAGGGCTGCTCTGTAAGATCTATATTCTTGCCTACTTTGGGTTTTTAAGGTCCTGAATTGGGATCAATGGGAACTTCCTGCCAAAGTTTCTTCAATAGGGAGAGTGGACAAAGGACTTTTTGAGGGGGGCGGCGAAGCCGTTGTCTGCAGGCGAAGCGACAAGCGCAATCGCACAATGGCCATATTGTGTGATTATTATTTTTTTTGTTTAGCATCTCCAACATGAAATGGCTTTTGAATCCAGTGACATTGCTAGCCTGCCATCAGATTGCAAGTAAGGACGTCCCCGGAAGATGTGGTTCCAGTGGGGTCACTCTGTTTACAATTTGTGTTCTTTGATTTAGTTGTGTATTGAAATCCGTTCGAGTTGTGTTGTGTTCCCAAGTTGGGAGAAAGGTGGGACAGAAAGTAAAATCAATCCATACATTTGCCCCGTTTTATCGCCTATCTTCCAACCCCACCCCTCTCCACCTCCATTCGCGTCTCTTTGAATTCCACAGCACTGGTGGTCACAGCTGACTTCCAGTTAGAGTACTCAAGGGCCAGGACTTCCCAGTTCTTTGTGTCCATGCCACAATTTTTAAGGTTAGCTTTCAGCCCATCTTTAAATCCTTTTTCCTGTCCCATCGACATTACGTTGAGTTGGGAGTAGCGTAACTGCTTTGAGAGACGGTGATTGGGCATTTGGACAACGTGGCCGGTCCAGCAGAGTTGATGATGTAGGAGCATCGCTTCAATGTTGGTGGTCTTTGCTTCGTCCAACTTTCAGTCTGCTGAAAGGCTGAGCTTCTCGTATGCTTCTGCAAAGGCATTTAGAGTAGCTTGTAGGCCGCCTTCTGAATGCGCACAGAAAATGTTATCATCAGTATATTGGAGTTCTATAACAGATGTTGTTGTGACAGGGGGATTGGCTGGTGATCCTGGAAGAGCACTTTGGCTTTCTCGATGTTCAGTGAGAGGCTGAGCTTCTCATATGCTTCTGCAGAGGTCTTTAGAGTAGCTTGTACGTCTTCTTCTGAATGAGCACACAGACTACGTTATCATCAGCATATTGGAGTTCTATAACAAATGTTGTTGTGACAGGGGGATTGGCTGGTGACTGCTGGAAGAGCACTTTGGTTTTCTCGATGTTCAATGAGAAGCCAAGCTTCTGGTATGTTTCTGCAAAGGTGTTTAGAGTGGCTTGTATGTTTTCTTCTGAATGTGCACAGACTACGTTATCATCAGCATATTGGAGTTCTATAACAGATGTTGTTGTGCTCTTGGTTTCGGCTTTCAGTCTGCTGAAAGGCCGAGATTCCCATATGTTTCTGCAAAGGTGTTTAGAGTGGCTTGTACGTCTTCTTCTGAATGTGCACAGACTACATTATCATCAGCATATTGGAGTTCTATAACAGATGTTATTGTGACCTTGGTTTTGGCTTTCAGTCTGCTGAAAAGCTGTGCTTCTTGTATGCTTTTGCAAATTTGTTTAGAGTGGCTTGTATGTCTTCCTCTGAATGTGCACAGACTATGTTTTCATCAGCATATTGGAGTTCTCTAAAGATGTTGTAGGTCTTCTCCTGAATGCGCACATACTACGTTATTATCATTATATTGGAGTTCTCTAACAGATGTTGTAAGTCTTGTTCTGAATGGGCACAGACTATGTTATCATTGGCATATTGAAGTTCTATAACACATGGTGTTGTGACCTTGGTTTTGGCTTTCAGTCTGTTGAAAGGCTGAGCTTGTCATATGCTTCTGTAAAGGAATTTAGAGTGGCTTGTAGGTCTTCTTCTGAATGTGCACAGACTATGTCATCATCAGCATATTGGAGTTCTATAACAGATGTTGTAAATCGTCTTCTGAATGAGCACATACTACGTTATTATCAGCATATTGGAGTTCTCTAACATGTTGTAAGTCTCGTTCTGAATGTGCACAGATTACATTATCATCGGCATTTTGGAGTTCTATAACAGATGTTGTAGGTCTTCTTCTGAATACACACATATTGGAGTTCTCTAACAGATGTTGTAAATCTTGTTCTGAATGTGCACAGACTATGTTATCATTGGCATATTGAAGTTCTATAACACATAGTGTTGTGACCTTGGTTTTGGCTTTCAGTCTGCTGAAAGGCTGAGCTTCTTGTATGGTTCTGCAAAGGTGTTTAGAGAGGCTTGTAGGTCTTATTCTGAATGTGCACAGACTATGTTATCATCAGCATATTGGAGTTCTATAACAGATGTTGTAAATCTTCTTCTGAATGCGCACATACTACGTTATCATCGGCATATTGGAGTTGTATAACCGATGTTGTGACCTTGGTTTTGGCTTTCAGTCTGCTGAAATGCTGAGTTTCTTGTATGCTTTTGCAAAGGTGTTTAGAGTGGCTCGTATGCCGTCTTCTGAATGTGCACAGACTACATTATCATCAGCATATTGGAGTTCTATAACAGATGTTGTTGTGACCTTGGTTTTGGCTTTCGGTCTGCTGAAAGGCTGAGCTTCTCGTATGCTTTTGCAAAGGTGTTTAGAGTGGCTTGTATGTCATCTTCTGAATGTGCACAGACTACATTATCATCACCATATTAGAGTTCTATAACAGATGTTGTTGTGACCTTGGTTTTGGCTTTCAGTTTGCTGAGGTTAAATAGCTTGCCATCTGAATTTATTGGCATACAGAATGATGGATATCATGGTCCCTTCGCATTCACCGATTTTGTTCTCTCTCCCCCCTTGATCCCATTGTTCTCCAGGAGGAATGACGAAGTGACGCATATCAAAATCCAGAACACTGGGGACTACTATGACCTCTACGGAGGGGAGAAGTTTGCCACTTTGTCCGAACTGGTCCAGTACTACACCGAACAGCAGGGTCTCCTGCGGGAGAAGAACAGCAACATCATTGAGCTCAAGTTCCCTCTGAATTGCCAGGATCCCACCTCGGAAAGGTGAGTCGGGGTGTCTGCACCCCAGATTAAGACAGATACATATATAAGGATTGCAAAGGCTTGCAGGGAAAAATGCCTGGCTAAGAAACACTGGATTAAATTATTCCCAAAGTGGTTCAAAAATGGGAGTGGATTTTATTTTATACCCTCCATGAATGGTGTTTTTTGTTTCACTGTGTCCCAAATTGGAATGGCCTTTGGCTAAACGTCATAAAGGCTGGCTTGACCGTTTCTCTCTTGGAAACAGTGGTAACCACAACAGCTCGGAGCAATTAAATGGTCTCTTAGAAATGTCAAGAAGCTCCTTCACGGCAAAGTCATTTTTCGGCCCGTAGTGTTGTCGAGTAATTTCGAATGGCTGTGGATTAGGCCCAAGCCATTGTGGGTTGCCTGGTGAGAACAGAGAAGCCAATATTGCAAATTTAATCTCACCAAGTTGAAGCAGAAGCCACCGAAATGCTTATTTCATTCTAGCTGGAAAGGGTGACGATTGCAGTAATTCTGCCAAACAAATTGACATGTCTGCTAGGCAGGTAAATACAGAATATATACATTTGAGATTCAAAAGTTTTGATGCCCACTCCCTGAGCCAGCTTCGTTGTGATTGGCTGTAACTTTGGCAAGCCAGCAGGGTAGCCAATGGTGGCCTTAGCTTTGCTTTGGCCTCTCAACCAATGAGGTGGAAGGGAGGCGGGCAAGTTGAAGCAGAAGCCACCGAGATATTTATTTCATTCCAGCCAGAAAGGATGACGATTGCAGTAATTCTGCCAAACAAATCGGCATGTCTGCTAGGCAGGTAAATACAGAATATATAGATTTCAGATTCAAAAGTTTCGATGCCCACTCCCTATGAATTCCTTGGTTTTGAACAATTTTTTAGAGTCCTGGGCTGGGGGTGGGGGGTCAGCACCGATATCATTAGCAGTCGCAGCCCTAAAGAGTAAATTTCCAAACGCTGTTTCATCGTTCTCAAAACAATCCTATACGTTATAGCTGCACAATCCTCAAGGACGTTTGTGAATGATGCAGACATGGATATCCAAAAAGGGGGCTAGGTCAAGAGTTTCCAAATAGTATGGCAACATTGCACTACCAAGTCACCCACATAGTTGGACCTCCTCAGGAATGATCAGAGATTGATGAAACAGTTCTCTCTCTCCTCTTCCCCTTCCTAAACAGTGTGTTTTCCTTTCTGCTTCTGAGCTGCTTCTCCTCCCAGGCTGGCCATGAAAGCCTTCAACAATACAATATATGATCTATTTCTCTCTCCTCTTTCTATCCCTAAATACTATGTTTTCTTTTCAGCTTCTGCTCTGTTTCTCCTCCCAGGCTTGGAGGAGGGGCAGAGACACCCTTGCAATATATGATCTATTTCTCTCTCTTCTTCCCCTCCCTAAACAGTGTGTTTTCTTTTCTGCTTCTGAGCTGTTTCTCCCAGGCTGGGAAGAGAGGGGGAGAGAAGCCCTTGCAATATATGATCTATTTCTCTCTCTCTTCTTCCCCTCCCTAAACAGTGTGTTTTCTTTTCTGCTTTTGCGCTGCTTCTCCACCCAGGCTTGGAGGAGGGGCAGAGACACCCTTGCAATATATTATCTATTTCTCTCTCCTCTTCCCCTCTCTAAACAGTGTGTTTTCTTTTCTGCTTCTGCTCTGCTTCTCCTCCCAGGCTGGGAGGAGTGGGAGAGAAGCCCTTGCAATATATGATCTATTTCTCTCTCCTCTTTCTATCCCTAAAGACTATGTTTTCTTTTCAGCTTCTGCTCTGTTTCCTCTCCCAGGCTGGGAGGAGGGGGAAAGCAGTACTTGCAATATATAATCTATTTCTCTCTCCTCTTCCTATCCCTAAAGACTATGTTTTCATTTCAGCTTCTACTCTGCATCTCCTCCCAGGCTTGGAGGAGGGAGAGAGAAGCCCTTGCAATATATGATCTGTTTCTTTCTCTCCTCTTCCCCTCCCTAAACAGTGTGTTTTCTTTTCTGCTACTGCTTGCTTCTCCTCCCAGGCTGGGAGGAGGGGGAGAGACGCCCTTGCCATATATGATCTACTGCTCTCTCTCCTCTTTCCCCTCCCTAAAGAGTATGTTTTCTTTTTGGCTTCTGCTCTGCTTCATATGTGAATGAAAATACATCCTGCATATCAGACATTTACATGATGATTCATAACAGTAGCAAAGTGACAGTGATGAAGCAGCAACAAAAATAATGTTATAGTTGAGGGGGTCACCACAACATGAGGAACCGTATACACAAATATATATACACACACAAAACACATGTACACAGACTGGGCCACAGCATTGAGTGGCAGGGGACGGCTAGTAAATAATAATAGTGTATATAGGAGTAAAGCCATTTACTCCGTTGACCCTCCCCACTATGGCAAATGATAGGGCTGACCCAGTCTGAGACCAATGGGTGAAAGCTGACCCAGTAGGGAGTTGCATTTCTCATTTCACAATGCAGTTTGTCTTTCGCGATATCCGCCCTTTTCTAGATGGTACCACGGTCATCTGACGGGCAAAGAGGCCGAGAAACTCCTCACTGAGAAAGGCAAACCGGGGAGTTTTTTGGTGCGCAGCAGCCAAAGTAAACCTGGCGACTTTGTCTTGTCGGTACTGACGAACGAAGACAAAGCTGACACGGGGGACCGGAAGCCCCGGGTGACCCACATCATGATCCGCTATCAGGTAAGGTGATGCAGGAAAGGACTTGTAAGGACCAGAAAGGAGTTTTACATCTAGTCTCAGTCACTGATTGAGGTTCCGGGTTTTCGCCTGCCCCTTTTGGACTCTTGCTTGCTGAGGTCTCTATAGATCTTAGGAAGGTATTTCTTGATTTAAGACATTGGTTTGATGCTAATATCCAAGCAGAGGATGGGCTGGAGATGTCACTGCCTTGGTCCTTGGTCCTTAGCCTGCCAATTTTGGACTCTCGCTTGCTGAGGTGTTTCTGCGAGTATATTTGTAGGTCTTAGAAAACTATTTCTTGATTAAAGGTGTTGGTGTGCTGGCTGATATCTGAACGAGGTAGGGCAGAGATGTCACTGCTTTGGTCCTTGCATTTTTGGTTGCTATTTCCTGTCAGAAGGACAAAAGGGAGGAAGGGCATGATGGAAGAGAAAGAGGGAAGAAAGGAGGAAAGGGAAGGAAGGATGAAACAGTAGAAGGGATAAATGGAATGAAGGGAAGGAGGAAGGAAAAAGAGAAGGAAGAAAAGAGAAAAGGGAAGGAAGGAATTAAGGAAGGAGAAAGGGAGAGATGGAGAAAAGAGGGAGGGAGGGAAGGAAGGGAGGGAGGGMGGAAGGGTGGAAGGAGAAAGAGGGAGGGAAGGAGGAAGGAAAGGGAGAAGGAAGGAAAGACAAAAGAGATGGAAGGAGGGAAGGCCAAAAGGGTGAAAGGGATTGAAGGAAAGGAAGGAGGCAGGAAAGAGAAAGAAAGAAGGACAAAAGGGAGCAAGGGYKYATTGGATGGAGAAAGAGGGAGAGAGGGAAGGAAGGAGAAAAGAGGGAAGGAAGGAAAGACAGAAGGGAAGGAAGGAAAGGCAAAAGTGAAGGAGGGTGAAACGGTGGAAGGGACAGATGGAAGGAAGGAAGGGGAGGAGGAAGGAAAACGAGAAGGAAGAAAGGGATAAAGAGAAGGATGAAAGGAAGGGAAGGAGGAAGGAAAGAGAGAACTAAAGAAAGGCAAAKAGAAAGAAAAGGAGYGAAGGAAGAAAAGGTGGAAGGGAAGGATGGAAGGAGAAAGGGAAGGGAGGGAGGTAAAAGGAAGGAAAGACAAAAGGGAGGGAAAGAGAAAAGAGAAGGAAGATGGGAATGATGAAAGGGTGAAAGAGAAGGAAGGAAGGGAAGGAGGAAGGAAAGAGAGTAGGAAGGAGGGACAAAAGGGTGGAAGGGAAGGAGAAYGAAGACATGAAAGAAAGAGAGAAGGAAGGAAGGATAGGGTGGTGAGAGAGAGGAGGGCCTGAGAAAAGAGCCCAAGGGGCCGTATTCGGCTCGCGGACCGCGGTTTGCCCATACCTGGTGTAGCCCCACCAAGAAGGCCTCTCTTGATATCTTTAAGGACTGAACGAGCCTGCAAGGGAAAAGCTAGTCTCTCAGGGAAACAGAGCAATTCTAGTCTGTGTGAACCAGCAACAATAAGGAAAGCTCCGAGAGCAATTCCTGCAAATCATGGGTTGAAAGAATTAGTCATGGTGTGTAGCCCGAAGGATAGAACGTTAAAGGAGAAGACATGATAATTGTCTCCAAATCTCTGGGCTGCCATGCAGAAAATGGAGCAGGCTTGTTCCCCGTTGCTCCTTCGATGTGGAAATTGCGGCGAGTGAAGCAGCCATAATGTAAACGCCGTGGGTAAGAGCTGTTTGACAGCAGAACAGGTGGCGTGCTTCCACCTGTCTGAGGTCCTCTTGCGGGCCGGCAATTATGATTCCCCTTCTCTCCCGTAGCCAGACGGAAAGTATGACGTGGGAGGCGGCGAGCGTTTCGACACCCTCACGGACTTGGTGGAGCACTATAAGAAGAACCCCATGGTGGAGAAATCAGGGGCCGTTGTGCACCTGAAACAGGTAATGCGCCCGCAGCACTCCATAAGGGACCCCTAGCATTGCTTTTCAGTTCCATTATGTTTACAGTTCCCAAATTGAGTCACCTTATAGTTGCGAGGAATGAAACCATTTACTTTTCCATTCGGGGAAAGGAGTTTAGTTACATGTCAGGCTCGTCAAGCCACGCTTTGCAAAAGAAACGAGGCATTTGCAATCACATCGCAAAAAGGTGAGAAGTGATCCTCCATTCTTAAATTCTTAAACAGCTTCGTTGGCTGCCGATAAGTTGCCAAACCAAATTCAAGGTGCAGGTCATGACCTATAAAGCCCGAAACGGTTCGGGCCCCGCCTATCTCCGCGATCGCATCTCCTTCTATGACCTGGCATAAGCTCTAAGACCTCCCAGGGAGGCCCTCCTTTTGGTCCCACTACCGTCTCAAGCGTGGTTGGTGGGGACGAGAGAGAGGGCCTTCTCGGTGGTGGCCCCCTGCCTCTGGAACACCCTTCCAAGAGAAATAAAACAAGCCCCGTCCCTCCCCTCCTTTCGTAAGAGTTTGAAGACCTGGTGGTTTCAACAAGCCTTTGAAAATGGCCAGTTCTAACTCAGCCCCAAACATTGTCGAATACGGTCTTATTCTTCCTACCAGTTACCCAGATCACTTCCTCTAATCGGCCTTGGAATGAACAGCCACAGACCCCTACCTAATATTATTGTTGCCTGCGATAGCATTGCACTTAATTCTGTTCTGTTAATCCCACAAACGAACATTACGTTTTTATTTATATAGATAAGTAAAAGCAGCAAGGTAAAAAAGCACTTTAAGAGAATAGGTAAATCCAATTAGGTAGGAAGATAAGCAGGAACAAAGTATTTCAAGGTAGGGTTCAGCCCAGTGTGAGAAGAGGGCTATGTGAGAGTGAAACTGTTTATATCTAAATGAGAAAGAAGCCAAGTGTGGAAGTAAAGAAGGAAGGAAGTAAAGAACCAAGGAACTTGGTTTGTGTTATGGAAACCTTGTTTTTGTAAATAGTGCTGACACTCCCTTCTGGCAGTGGCTGATCATTTGTGTAAATGTCAAACATTGATGGTGCAACCTAGTTTCCCCTGTAATAGGCAGTAAGAGCACCTAAAGCTTCGGAGAGCTTCAGTTCGACCATTTCAAAGCTCCCTGCTTGAGCGTTGATGGCACGATCGTCAGCATAGATGAAACTCTCTTTCCCTTCTGGCAGTGGCTGGTCATTTGTGTAAATGTTAAGAGATTAAGCAGATTCCATTGGAGTGAAAACATCAGTATCAAGGTCGTTGTTATCAGTGAAAGCTGACTTCTCCTGATTCTGATTTATAACCCTGAATTCCCCACGCAGGAGGTGCTAAGGAGTCTCCCAATTAGCTCAGCGTTTTTAGCAGCTATTTTAGCTGAATGCTGTCTGTGCTCTGTCTCTTTTCGTCTCCCTAGAAATGTGGGCATTTTCGTAACCTCATTGTCTGATTCTTCTCCTGCCCCCAATTCCTGAGCATTTCCCTGCTTCTCTTCTGAAGATGAGGAATCCCTAACATCTCCAAGCTTTCCTGTCTTCTCATTATGTGGCCAAAGTACTTCATCTTGGCCTCTCATATCCTTCCCTCCACTGTTTTAGTGTGGTGATATGTGTTCCACACTGGCATGCGTATTCAGCAGTGAAGTAGCAAAGAGCAAGGGCAGATGTCTTCGCTGTGTCTGTTTGTGATCCCCAGGTTGTGCCAGTCAGCTGATAGTCTGCTGTACATTTATGAGGAGGGTCTTTTGTTAATAAGCCCACTCGCCCAACGAGTTTCTGCTCTGGGCTCTGGGTTCTTTGTTCTTTGGGTGCCGCCTTCACTTCAAACACACCTCACTTTTTCTTTTTTGCAGCCCTTTAATGCCACGCGAATCATTGCGGCCAACATCGAAAACCGAGTAAAGGAGTTGAACAAAATGGCGGACCACAGCGAGAAGGCCAAGCAAGGCTTCTGGGAGGAGTTTGAGGTGCAGAAAGTGTTCTGAGCTAGGATTTCATAGTAAATAATTATATTAAAATGTAATCAAATGATGATGATGATAAAGTAAAATAATAAATAGGCCTGTTCTGCAGAATAGTTTGAGAATTAAAGATTTTATCTCTCTACTTGGCACAGATGTTGCAGCAACAGGAGTGTAAATTTCTCTATCCCCGGAAAGAAGGGCAGCGGATGGAAAACAAAGCCAAGAACCGCTACAAGAACATCCTTCCTTGTAAGGACTGGAGAGTATATCCCAAAAACTAGGGGTGGGGGGAATGGGAATAATGGGAATCGCAGTAGCGGGTGGGATAATGCCACGTGAGTTGGACTCCATTGCCTATGGAGGAAAGATAGGGACATAGAACCAATTAGGAACTGCCATTTACAATGAATTTTTGAGACTTTTGTTAGAATTCTGAAATTTTCACCACCAGAACTTTAGTTCTGTAAGTACTAAAGTTCTGGTGGCGAAAATTTCAGAACTCTAATTTTGAGAGTTTTTTTAGAGTTCTGAAATTTTCACCACCAGAACTTTAGTTTTGTAAGGACTTTAGTACGTACAAAACTAAAGTTCTGGTGGTGAAAATTTCAGAACTCTTAACAAAATTTAACTATTATTTCATTATTGTCGATTTTTATGATAGAACCAATTAGGAACTGCCATTCATAATGAAATTTTGAGAGTTTTGTTAGAGTTCTGAAATTTTCACCACCAGAACTTTAGTTTTGTAAGTACTATAAAGTACTTACAAACTACAAAGTATAAAACTAAAGTTCTGGTGGCGAAAATTTCAGAACTCTAACAAAACTTTCAAAATTTAATTATTATTTCATTATTGGCGATTTTTATGATACAACCAATTAGGAACTGCCATTTATAATGAAATTTTGAGAGTTTTGTTAGAATTCTGAACTTTTCACCACTAGAACTGTAGTTACAAAACTAAAGTTCTGGTGGCGAAAATTTCAGAATTCTAACAAAACTTTCAAAATTTAATTATTATTTCATTATTGGCGATTTTTATGATAGAATCAATTAGGAACTGCCATTTTTTATGAAATTTTGAGAATTTTGTTAGAATTCTGAAATTTTCACCACGAGAACTTTAGTTACAAAACTAAAGTTCTGGTGTCGAAAATTTCAGAACTCTAACAAAACTTTCAAAATTTAATTATTATTTCATTATTGGCGATTTTTATGATAGAACCAATTAGGAACTGCCATTTATAATGAAATTTTGAGAGTTTTGTTAGAATTCTGAAATTTTCACCACCAGAACTTTAGTTTTGTAAGTACTTTAGAACCATTTATAATCATGGATTGACCAGGCCTAGTTTTCACTCTTCAAATGTCCTCCAAGTGGGGATAACTATGTCACCTTTCTTCTCTCTCCTCGTAGTTGACACAACGCGAGTCGCTCTTCGAGAAGTGGACGAGAGCCTTCCAGGCTCCGATTACATCAATGCCAATTATATTCGGGTGAGCAGAATGTACAGTATTTATATTCCGCTCTGCACACCCGCAGGGGACGCAGGGCGGATCACAATGCACATATACATGGCAAACATTCAATGCCATAGACACACAACATATATAGACAGACACACAGAGGCTCTTTAACTTTCCAGCTTCATGAGGGTATGCTTCGAATTCCAGCCACCAGGGGAGCTGTCGCTTCACCGTCCACTTGTGACACCAATGCAGTACTTCCTTATTCTTTTGCGCACTGCTGGAGATTTTTATGGCCTCGTAAATTATCGCATAAAGCAATACCTAAATTTCCTACTTGACAGATGCAAGTGTCTTTTGGGCTGCAAAGGTCGACAGCAAGCTAAACAAATAGTTGGGAGCTTACTCCGACCTGGGCTGGCTTTGAACTCATGACCTTTCTGTCAGTAATGATTTTAATCCGGCCACTCCTGGAGCTGTCGCTTCACCGTCCACTTGTGACACCGATGGAGTACTTCTTCATTATTTTGCACACAGCTGGAGAGTTTTATGGCATCATAAATTATTTAAATTTACAATATATTGTATATACATATAATATAAATGTTATATGTATATATTGTATATACAGTATATTGTATATACATATAATATTTATAATATTATAATGTAATGGAATATAATTCCAATAATAATATGATACTATAATTATATATTTATATTACATGTAATATTACTAATAATATTACAATATAATGGTATAGTACAATATAGTAATATTTAATACCGATATTATACTATGCTAATAACATAATATATTGTATGTGTGTGTGTGTATATATATATATATATATATATATATATGTATATATATATATATATATGTATATGTATATGTGTGTGTGTGTGTATGTGTGTGTGTATATATATATATAATATAATATAATATATAATATGCATACGTATAATATTTATAATACTATAATGTAATCAGTATAATACTAATAATAATAGTATTATACTATAATAATACTGTTATACTATTATAATACTCTGAGTCGCCTCCGGGCTGATATGAGCGGGGTAGAAATAATGCAAATAAATAAATAATATGATATTATAATTAAATATATTATATTACATGTAATATTACTAATAATATTACAATATAACTGTATAGTACAATATAGTGATATATAGCGCTGATATTGTACTGTGCTAATGGTATAATGTATTGTGTGTGTGTGTATGTGTGTGTGTGTGTATATATATATATCCTGTAAACCGCTCTGAGTCCCCTTCAGGGTGAGAAGGGCAACATGTAAACGTCACAGATAAATAAATAAATAAAATAAACTGTCTTTCGGGCTGCAAAGGTCAACAGCAAGCTAGACAAATGGTTGGGAGCTTACTCCAACCCGGGCTGGCTTCGAATTCATGACCTTTTGGTCAACAGTGATTTTGATGCAGCTGACTCCCAACCAGCTACGCCACAACCCAGTCTTGTTTTTTCTCTGATTCTAGAACATTGCTGAAGACGGCCAAAGCTCTGAGCACAGCAAAGTCTACATTGCCACCCAGGGGTGCCTCCAAACCACCGTGAACGACTTCTGGGCCATGGTGTACCAGGAGAACACGCATGTCATTGTCATGACCACCAAAGAAGTGGAGAGAGGAAGGGTGAGTGTCACTTTACGTAGCTGTGAGACATTCCAGCCCCAGATTCTGTTTACTGCCAAAACCAAGGACTTTATCACACAAGTCTTTTGGCAATTGCATCTTTTGAACAAATGGAACGATCTTCAGTGTAGATGAAACTCTCTGTCCCTTCCGGCAGTGGCTGGTCATTTGTGTAAATGTCAAACATTGATGGTGCAACCTAGTTTCCCCTGTAATAGGCAGTAAGAGCACCTAAAGTTTCAGAGAGCTTCAATTTGACCATTTCAAAGCTCCCTTCTTGAGCAGTGATGGCACGATCGTTAGCATAGATGAAACTCTCTTTCCCTTCTGGCAGTGGCTGCTCATTTGTGTAAATGTTAGAGATTAAGCAGATTCCATTGGAGTGAAAACATCAGTATCAAGGTTGTTGTTATCAGCAAAAGCTGATTCTCCTGATTCTGATTTATAGCCCTGAATTCCCCACGCAGGAGATACTAGGGAGTCTCTCAATTAGCTCAGTGTTTTTAGCAGCTATTTTAGCTGAATGCCGTCTGTGCTCTGTCTCTTTTTGTCTCCCTAGAAATGTGGGCACTTCCATAACCTCATTGTCTGATTCTTCTCCTGCCCCCAATTCCTTACCACTTCCCTGCTCCTCTTCCTCTTCTGAAGATGATGAATCCCTAACATCTCCAAGCTTTCCTGCCTTCTCATTATGTGGCCAAAGTACTTCATCTTTGCCTTTCATATCCTTCCCTCCACTGTTTTAGTGTGGTGAGATATGTTCCACACTGGGCATGCGTATTCAGCAGTGAAGTAGCAAAGGGCAAGGGCAGATGTCTTTGCTGTGTCTGGTTGTGATTCCCAGGTTGTGCCAGTCAGCTTTCGTACGATATTATTTCTAGCACCCACTTTTTGCTTGATGTTCAGACAGTGCTTCTTGTAGGTAAGAGCACGGTCCAGAGTGACTCCCAGGTATTTGGGTGCGCTGCAATGCTCCAGTGGGATTCCTCCCCAGGTCATCCTCAGAGCTCGAGATGCTTCTCTTTTCTTAAGGTGAAAAGCACACGTCTGCATTTTAGATCGATGAGGAATCAGCTGATTGTTCCCTGTAATATGCAGTAAGAGCACCTAAAGCTTCGGAGAGCTTCTCTTCAACCATTTCTAATCTCTATGCTTGAGCGGTGATGGCGCGATCATCAGCATAGATGAAACTCTCTTTCCTTTTTTGCAGTGGCTGGTCATTTGTGTAAATGTTAAACATTGATGGAGCAAGCTGGTTTTCCCAGAAATAGGAAATAAGAGCACCTAAAACTTTAGTTTCTGTTCAATTATCACAGAGCTCCCTGCTTGAGCGGTGATGGCATGATCGTCAGCATAGATTAAACTCTCTGTCCCTTCTGACAGTGGCTGGTCATTTGTGTAAATGTTAACCATTGATAGTGCAAAGCTAGTTTTCCCTGTAACTGGCAGTAAGAGAACCTAAAGCTTCGGAGAGCTTCTGTTCAACCATTCCAAAGCTCCCTGCTTGAGTGGTGATGGCACGATCGTCAGCGTAGATGAAACTCTCTATCCCTTCTGGCAGTGGAGAATCATTTGTGTAAATGTTAACCATTGATGATGCAACCTGGTTTTCTTTTAATAGGTAAGAGCACCTAAAGCTTTGGAGAGCTTCTGTTCAGCCATTTCAAAACTCCTTGCTTGAGTGGTGATGGCATGATCATCAGCATAGATGAAACTATGTGATTAGATGTGTAAATGTTAACCATTGATGATGCAACCTGGTTTTCCTTGTAATATGCAGTAAGAGCAGCTAGAGCTTCGGAGAGCTTCAGTTCAACCATTTCAAAGCTTGGGTGGTGGTGGCATGATCGTCAGCATAGATGAAACTCTCTATCCCTTCTGGCAGTGGAGAATCATTTGTGTAAATGTTAAACATTGATGGTGCAACCTGGTTTCCCCTGTGATAGGTAGTAAGAGCACCTATAGCCTCGGAGAGCTTCTGTTCAACCATTTCAGAGCTCCCTGCTTGAGCGGTGATGGCATGATCATCAGCATAGATGAAACTATGTGATTAGATGTGTAAATGTTAACCATTGATGATGCATCCTGGTTTTCCTTGTAATATGCAGTAAGAGAGCAGCTAGAGCTTCGGAGAGCTTCTGTTCAACCATTCCAAAGCTTTCTGCTTGGGTGGTGATGGCAAGGTCGTCAGCATAGATGAAACTCTTTTTCCCTTCTGGCAGTGGCTGGTCACTCTCCTGAGGCAGGCTGTTCTCTCTCTTTCCCCAGAATAAATGTTTCCACTATTGGCCAGATAAGAACTGCACCAAAGACTACGGCCACATCAGTGTCAGGAACGTCAGCGAAGTGGAAGCCCAGGGCTACCACATCCGGGAGCTGGAGATCGCACGGCTAGACAGGGTGAGTACCCTTCCCTGCCTCTTCTTTTGCTATTTCTATTGTTTTTATGTCTTGCAAGGACCGATTCCTGCTTTGAGACGCCATCTAAACCCAAGAGATCTAACATGGGTAGCCCTTACGGTCTCTTCCAACTCGTTGCGTCTATGAAGATTGCTTAACTCTCTGACTTTCTTGCAGGTGGAGGGCCAGTTTTTGTAAATCTTGAAGGTACTCTCAGTAGCCATGGTCATTGAAAAACTATCTCCTTATTGCTTTACCTGAAGTGAGGAAACCTGAAGGGAAACACTGACCGTGAAGCCAGTTTACTTAGGGTCATGTAAATTAATGTATAAATAGTATTGTAAGTCCCATCATCCACGGTCCATCGTTCCACAAACCACATAGCGTGGGACATGGGGGCTCTGTGTACCAAGTTTGGTCATAATCCGTCATTGGTGGGGGTTGCAGTGTTCTCAGAAAGTGAGTGGAGGTATTGTGAGTCCCATCATCCATGGTCCATCATCCCACAAACCACAACAGTATGTGTAGTGGTCCATAGGGGCTCTATGTGCCACGTTTGGTTGTAATCCATTATTGGTGAGGGTCGGAGTAGTCTCAGAAAGTGAGTGAAGGTATTGTAAGTCCCATCATCCACGATCAATCGTCCCACAAACCACAACAGGACATACAGTGGGTCATGGGGCCTCTGTGTGCCAAGTTTGGTCATAATCCATCATTGTTGGGGGTCGCAGTGGTCTCAGAAAGTAAGTGAAGGTATTGTAAGTCCCATCATCCATGGTCCTTCATCCCATAAACAACAACAGGATATAGAGTGGGTCATGGGGGCTCTGTGTGCAAAGTTTGGTAAAGATCCATCACTGGTGGGGGTCGCAGTGGTCTCAAGTTTGGTCATGATCCGTCATTGGTGGGGGTCGCAGTGGTCTCAGAAAGTGAGTGAAGGTACTGCAAGTCCCATCATCCATGGTCCATCCTCCGCCAAACCGCACCAGGATGTGGAGTGGGTCATGGGAGCTTGGGGTGCCAAGTTTGGTCCTGATCAGTCATTGGTGTGGCTTGCAATGATCTCAGGAAGTGAGTGGAGGTACTGCAAGTTCCATCATCCATGGTCCATCATCCCACAAACCACAACACGACATAGAGTGGGTCATGGGGGGGCATGGGGGCTCTGTATGCAAAGTTTTGTTGTGATCCATCATTGGTGCGGGTCGCAGTTGTCTCTGGAATTGAGTGAAAATACTGCAAATCCCATCATCCACTGTCCACCCTCCCCCAAACCACACCAGGACGTAAAATGGACCATGGGGGGGAGGGTGTCTATGTGCTAAGTGTGGTCCTTGTCTGTGATTGCCTTCTATTATCTATAATTAGATTGTAAAACAATAGTAAAAATACATTTTAGGAGTGAATGAAGTTATCAGTGTTAATCATTTTGCATTGGTATTCTCTTTGGCTTCGCTGTCCGGATCTCACCCAAAACCAGCGTCTTTTATTATATATACCTGCGTTAGGGATGTGCGGTGTTCAATTATTAATCCCTACCAGGGAGAATGAATAATTGAATCAATTTCCTCCCCGCTCTCTGATGTCTTTGGACATTCTTGGGTTTTTGAAAACCGTTTGTGGGGTTGAGGGGGAGCCTTGGGCGAGGATTGGCAAGCTATACATCTCCAGAATCCTCACCTGGCATTGTTTGTCTCTGCTCCAAATTTAGTCTCGCTCCAACATCAGCTGGGTTTCGTGGGTACAGGTGAACTCTGACTCCAATATGCAAGTCCCATCATCCGTGGTCAATCCTCCTCCAAACCACAATGGGATGTAGAGTGTGCTTCTGTGTGCCAAGTTTGGTCTTGATCAGTCATTGGGTGAGGGTTGCAGGAAGTGAATGAAGGTACTGCAAGTGCCATCGTCCATGGTCCATTTGCCCACAAACCAGACCAAGAWGTAGAGTGGGTCAAGTTTGATCTGTGTGCCAAGTTTGATCTTGATCAGTCCATGGTGTCGGTCACAATGGTCTCAGGAAGTGAGTAAAGGTACTGCAAGTCCCATCATCCATGGTCTGTCCTCCTTCAAACTTTACCAGGATGTAGAGCGGGTCATGGGGGCTCTGTGTGCCAAGTTCGGTCTTTATCAGTCATTGGATGAGGGTCGCAGTGCTCCCAATAAGTGAGTGAAGGTACTGCCATTGTCCATGGTCCATTTGCCCACAAACCAGATCAAGATGTAGAGTGGGTCAAGTTTGATCTGTGTGCCAAGTTTGATCTTGATCAGTCCATGGTGTCGGTCACAATGGTCTCAGGAAGTGAGTGAAGGTACTGCAAGTCCCATCACCCATGGTCCATCCTCCTCCAAACTGCACCAGGATGGAGAGTGGGTCATGGGGGCTCTGTGTGCCAAGTTTGGTCTTGATCTTGACCCTTGGATTAGGGTCACAGTGGTTTCAGTAAGTGAGCGAAGGTACTACAAGTCCCATCATCCATGATCCACCCTCCTCCAAACTGAAACAGGATGTAGATAGGGTCATGGGGGCTCTGTGTGCCAAGTTTGGTTTTGATCAGTCATTGATGAGGATCGCAGTGGTCTCGAGAAGTGAGTGAAGGTACTGCAAGTCCCATTATCCATGATCTGTCCTCCTTCAAACTTCACCAGGATATAGAGTGGGCCATGGGGTCTCTTTGTGCCAAGTTTGGTCTTGATCAGTCATTGGATGAGGGTCTCAATGGTCTCAAGACGTGAGTGAAGGTACTGCAAGTCCCATGGTCCGCTGTCCTCCAAATTGCAGCAGGATGTAGAGTGGATCATGGGGGTTATGTGTGCCATGTTTGGTCCAAGTCCATCACCCGTGCTGGTGGTAGTGGCCTGTGAAAGTAGCAGCCAATCAGAAAGCTGCCACACACACCACCACCCCCCCCTCGGCATACAAACACTGACTTTTATTATATACTAGCTTGGGGACCTGGCTATTTGTGCCCAGGTTATTTGAGAAAGACATTGTGTGGCAAGGTTGGTCTTTATCAGTTATTTATATGGCTCACAGTGCTCTCAGGAAGTTAGCAAAAGTACTGCAAGCCCCATCATCCGATGTCCATCTTACTCCAAACTTCAGCAGGATGTAGAGTGGGTCATGGGGGCTCTGCGTGCCAAGTTTGGTTTTGGTCAGTCATTGGATGAGGGTTGCAGTGGTCTTGGGAAGTGAGTGAAGGTACTGCAAGTCCCATCATCTGTAGTCTGTCCTCCCCTAAACCTCATCAGAAGGTTGAGTTGACCATGGGGGCTCTCTATGCCATGTTTGCTCTTTATTGGTAATTGGATGAGTGTCACTGTGGTCTCAGGAAGTGAGTGAAAGTTCTGCAAGTCCCATAATCCGTGGTCTGTCCTCCAAACAGCACCAGGATGTTGAGTGATTCATGTGGGCTCTGTGTGCCAAGTTTGGTCTTGATCAGTCATTGGATGAGGGGTGCAGCAGTTTCAGGAAGTGAGTGGAGGTACTTCAAGTCCCATCATTCATGGTCCACCCTCCTCCAAACTCCAGTAGGATGTAATGTTGGTCATGGGGGCTCTGTGTGCCAAGTTTGGTCTTTATTGGTCTTTGATGGGCCCCACAGTAGTCTGTGGGAACCGAAGGGTTTGAAAGTACTACAAATCCCATCATCCATTGTCTTGATCAGTCATTGGATGAGGATCGCAGTGGTCTCGGGAAGTGAGTGAAGGTACAGCAAGTCCCATCATCCACAGTCCATCCTCCTCCATTAATATTTATTAGGGAAAAAATGCAAAATGGAAGAGTGTTGCTTGCCGTTGGGTGTTCTCAGCCCTCTCTTCCCAACCCTCCTTCAGGAAGAGCAGCCAAGACTGATCTGGCACTTCCAGTACGTCAGCTGGCCCGACCACGGCGTGCCCAACGAGCCCGGGGGGGTCCTCAGCTTCCTCGATCAAGTCAACAAAGCCCAGAGGAGCGTCCCCGGCACTGGGCCGATTGTGGTGCACTGCAGGTGAGCGGCCAGGAGGGGGCGCCCCTCAACTGGGCCAGACTGGTGTTTGCTGGGACACCAAGACGGACACAGCGGCATATGCTGCATATATACTTTAGCCAAGTTTTTCTGCCCCTTTTTTAAACTGAAAAAGCACACCCTCGGCTTATACTCAAGTCAGGGTTATTGATTATTTTACTCTGTTATTATTATTATTATTATTATTACATTTATTATTTTATTCTTTTTATTATTATATATGTGTTATTTTTCCTCTATTTTATTATATTATTTTACTATATTATTATTACATTTATTATTTTACTCTATTATTGCTGTTATTATTTTACTTTATTATTATTACATTATTCTTCTCTATTATTATTACATTTATAATTTCACTCTTTTTATTACATTTATTATTTTCTCTATTTTTATTACATTTATTATTTTACTCTATTATTACAGTTATTATTTTCCTTTATTGTTGTTATTATTTTTACTTTATTATTATTACATTATTCTTCTCTAGTATTATTACATTTATTATTTCACTCTATTTTATTGCATTTATTTTTTTACTTTGTTATTGCAGTTATTATTTATTTTTCTCTATTATTATTATTATTATTACATTTATTATTTTTCTCTATTATTACATGTATTATTTTACTCTATTATTATTATTACTACATTTATTATTTTCTTTATTTTTATTACATTTATTATTTTTCTATATTATTATTTATTATTTTTCTATATTTTTCTATATTATTAAATTTATTATTTTACATTATTGCAGTTATTATTTTACTTTATTATTATTATAGCATTATTTTGTCTATTATTATTACATTTATTATTTTCCTCTATTATTATTAGTATATATACGGTATATGAACAAATGGGATGTTTCTGTATGGAAATTGTAGACCATCTGGATTTTGCAATGCTGCCCTTCCTCAGACTTAGTTTTCCATAATGGGATATCTCTTGCAGTCATCTTCGCCATGTTGAATGGTTGTAAACATTTGCTCCTTTTCATTTCTGCTTGTCCAGCGCTGGGATTGGACGCACCGGGACCATCATCGTCATAGACATCCTGGTGGACACCATTCACAGGCAAGGTGAATAGTACTTCCTTTAGTCATATTTCATGTAATATAATATATATATTTATAATATCATATTATTATTATTATTATTATTATTATTATTATTATTATTAGCATACTTACTTTACTTAGGCGATCCCTCGCTTTCCGAGGATGATTGTCTTCCAATATTCTGGTGGGTCCGTATGTGGCTGTGGAGCCCTATTCTTGCTCTGCATCTTCTTCCGCAGTGAGGGCATTGGTTTCCAGGTGGAAGGCGGTCTCGGTCGGGGTTGGCTTGACGCACCTTCCTCTTGGCACGTTTCTCTCTTTCGCCCTCCATTCGTGCCTCTTCACATTCTGCAGCACTGTTGGTCACAGCTGACCTTCAGCTGGAGCGGTCAAGGGCCAGGGCTTCCCAGTTCTCAGTGTCTATGCCAGAGTTTTTAAGGTTGGCTTTGAGCCCATCTTTAAATCTCTTTTCCTGTCCACCAACATTCTGTTTTCCGTTCGTGAGTTCGGAGTAGAGCAACTGCTTTGGGAGACGGTGGTCGGGCATCCAGACAATGTGGCCGGTCCAGCGGAGTTTGGCGGAGGACCATCGCTTCAATGCTGGTGGTCTTTGCTTCTTCCAGCACGCTGACATTTGTCTGCTTGTCTTCCCAAGAGATTTGCAGGATTTTCCGGAGGCAGCGCTGATGGAATCGTTCCAGGAGTTGCATGTGACGTCTGTAGACAGTCCACGTTTCGTAGGCATATAGCAGGGTTGGGAGGACAATGGCTTTATAAACAAGCACCTTGGTATCCCTACGGATGTCCCGGTCCTTAAACACTCTCTGCTTTATTTGGAAAAATGCTGCACTCGCAGAGCTCAGGCGGTGTTGTATTTCAGTGTCAATGTTGACTTTGGTGGAGAGGTGGCTGCCAAGGTAGCGGAAATGATCAACATTTTCTAATGTTACACCATTAAGCTGTATCTCTGGCATTGGAGAGGGATTGGCTGGTGTCTGCTGGAAGAGCACTTTGGTTTTTTCAATGTTCAATGACAGGCCGAGCTTCTCGTATGCTTCTGCAAAGGTGTTTAGAGTGGCTTGTAGGTCTTCTTCTGAATGCGCACAGACGACGTTGTCATCAGCATACTGAAGTTCTATAACAGATGTTGTTGTAACCTTGGTTTTGGCTTTCAGTCTGCTGAGGTTAAATGGCTTGCCATCTGTCCGAGAGATGATTTCCACTCTGCTGGGAAGCTTCCTGCCAACAAGATGAAGTATCATAGCGATGAAAATGGAAAATAAGGTTGGGGCAATAACACATCCTCCCTGTTTGACACCTGATTCCACCTTAAATGGATCACTTTGGGAGCCATTGCTGTCCAAGGATGAGACCAGATGGAACTGTCTTCCTGGGCCCCTCTCTCTTCACTCTGGCCCAGAGTCATAGTTGGTGTTGGGGGAGGGAACCCCAACTGCTGACATGAACCCAAAAACCCGCTAAGCCTTAAACCCAATAGAAAATGAGGGAGAAAATTATTGGGCGAGTGGGCTTCTTTCTCATCCAGATAAACATCTTCACTCTCACAGAGGCTCTTCTCACACCAAACTTGTACATGAGCTTCACACAGCAACTTTACACATAGTAGCCATCACACTGGAGCTTCATACAGTAGCTTTACTTATGAGGCCTCCAACTTGCGGCTTCTTCTCACGGAAGCCTCCTCACACCAGGCCTCTCACACACTGAGGCCTACCTCACACTGAAGCCTACTAACACTGAGGCCCCTCTCAGACTGAAGGAGAAGGAGAAAGAGGAGGAGGAGGAGGAGGAGGAGGAGGAGGAGGAGGAGGAGGAGAACAACAACAACAACAACAACAACAACAACAACATATCCCCGAAGGGACTCGGGGCGGCTTGCATGGGGCCTCTCTCAGGCTGAGGGTCCTCTCTCGGGCCTCTGAGAGTCAATATGTTTTCCCAATTTTTATTGAGGCATCTCTCAAGCTGGAGCCTTCTCACACTGAAGCCTCCCACACTGAGGTCACTCTCAAACTGAGGCCCTTCTCTCAGTGAGGCCTCTCTAACACTGGAGCCTTCTCATACTGAGAAGGCTTGTCTGAGAGAGCTTCCACAGAGCTTCCTCTCACAACAAACTTACACAGGAGCTTCACATAGTAGCTTTACACCCAGCTTTACACATGAGGCTTTCAACATGGACCTTCTTTCACCGAAGCTTCTCACACCAGGCCTTGTCACACTCAGCCTTCTCCTTGGGCTTGTCCCTCTGTAAGCCGCCCCGAGTCCTTTCAGTGTCAGGAGTCAATTTCTGACGGCATGAAGACATCATAAATTCCCTCTGTGACATCCTGACTGGATCATCCTGGCTGCCTCAGTTTTCTCTCTGTGACATTTTGAAGCCAGCCGAGGGTGCTGGAAACCTTGTATTTGAACTTGTGAAGCAACAAGCTCTAAGCAGGAAACTGAGAAGAGGGGGAGATGGACATGTGAAGCAACAAGCTCTAATAAGGAAACTGAGAAGAGGGGGGAGATGGGCAGGAAAAGTGTATAAAAGGAAGTGGTGGTGGGAAAAAGTCAGTAGTGTCTTTCTTTGCTGCAGAGATACAAGCAATATATTCATTTCCAAGCAAAACCGGCCTGTGAGTGATCATTTAATATTGCTATATAAAACCTACAGTCTTACATTCAGGGAGATGGAGGCAGGGTATAAAAATAAAGTTGTTGTTGTTATTATTATTATTTGAAACACAACAAGATGAGTCCACAGCAGACACTCTTCTGGCTATTGAATTGGATCACACATCGGACATTTCCCAAGTGTCTAGGACTGTGTGATGTATTGGCGAATAATGCATGCAGATCCCAGTAAGATGGCCTTCTGCAACTGGCAGATGGTAATTTTGTCAGCACTGATTGTGTTTAAGTGCAGGCCAAGGTCTTGAGGCACTGCACCCAGTGTGCCGATCACCACTGGGACCACCTTGACTGGCTTGTGCCAGAGTCTTTGCAGTTTGATCTTTAAATCCTCATATTGTGTCAGCTTTTCCAGTTATTTCTCTTCAATCCTGCTGTCATATTATTTATTTATTATATTTATATATTATTTATTCTATTATTATATTTATTTATTCTATTATATTTATTTTATCTATTATTATATTTATTTATTCTATTATATTTATTTTATCTATTATTATATTTATTTATTCTATTATTATATTTATTTTATCTATTATTATATTTATATTATTATCTATTCTATTATTATTCTATTTATTTTATTATTATATTTATATTATTATTTATTCTATTATTATTATTATTATTATTATTAACTGGCTGAGAAGGTGGTATACAAACACAGTAAATAAATAAATAAATAAATAGACTAAGGCCTACCTCACACTGTGAGGCCTTCTCGCAGATTGAGACCTTTCTCCCACTGAGGTTTACCTCAGACTGACGGCTACTAAACTACAGGCACCCCTGCTTATATAGAGCTGCGGCTTTTGCTGAGTCCTTGCATCCATTTAACACTTTTGGAACTTGACAGCATTTCCAGTAGTTTCTCTTCAATCCAATTATTATCATTATCATTATCATTATTATTATTATTATTACTATTATATTTATTTTATTATTATATTTATATTATTATTTATTCTATTATTATATTTATTTTATTTATTATTATATTTATATTATTATTTATTCTATTATTATATTTATTTTATTATTATATTTATATTATTATTTATTCTATTATTCTATTTATTTTATTATTCTATTTATATTATTATTTATTCCATTATTATTATTAACTGGCTGAGAAAGGCGGTACACAAATACAGTAAATAAATAAATTAACAAAATGTTGACTAAGGTCTACCTCACACTGTGAGGTCTTCTCACAGGCTGAGACCTTTCTCCCACTGAGGTTTACCTCAGACCGACAACTACTAAGATACAGGCACACCTGCTTATATAGAACCACAGCTTTTGCTGAGTTATTGCATCCATTTAACTCTTTGAGTGCTTGACTCACTTTCCAGTAGTTTCTCTTCAATCCAATTATTATCATTATCATTATCATTATTATTACTATTCTATTTATTTTATTATTCTATTTATATTATTATTTATTCCATTATTATTATTAACTGGCTGAGAAAGGCGGTATACAAACACAGTATATAAATAAATAAATAGACTAAGGCCTACCTCACACTGTGAGGCCTTCTCACAGACTGAGGCCTTTCTCCCACTGAGGTTTACCTCAGACTGACAGCTATTAAGCTACAGGCACCCCTGCTTATATAGAGCTGCGGCTTTTGCTGAGTCCTTGCATCCATTTAACACTTTTGGTGCTTGACAGCATTTCCAGTAGTTTCTCTTCAATCCAATTATTATTATTATCATTATCATTATTATTACTATTATTATATTTATATTATTATTTATTCTATTATTATTATATTTATTTTATTATTATATTTATATTATTATTTATTCCATTATTATTATTAACTGGCTGAGAAAGGCGGTATACAAACACAGTATATAAATAAATAAATAGACTAAGGCCTACCTCACACTGTGAGGCCTTCTCACAGACTGAGGCCTTTCTCCCACTGAGGTTTACCTCAGACTGACGGCTACTAAGCTACAGGCACCCCTGCTTATATAGAGCTGCAGCTTTTGCTGAGTCCTTGCATCCGTTTAACACTTTCGGTGCTTGACTCACATTTTTGTAATCAAAAATACCTAGTTAATTTTGAATATTTCTGAAAAAAAATGCAGAGAAAGATGCTGGTGGGATATGGAGAAATTCAGTGAAACGGAGAGCGAGACATTTTGACATGCCTCCTTTGGAGACCTATTCCAAAGGTGTTTACACCAGCAATGTGACCGGATGTAGCCCATTATTTCGTCCAAAAATGTTGTTTCCTTCCACAGTTTGAATGGAAGAATATGTTCATTTAATTGCGTGAGGTGTGGACATCCCTTCAGGAGAGCCAAGGCTGTTGTGTGTGGACTCACTTTGCATTTTGTTTCTGTTCTTTCCCCCAAATCACCTCTCTCTCTGGGGTTTTGCCTCTGCAAACAGGTCTGGACTGTGACATCGACATCCCCAAGACCATCCAGATGGTGCGAAGGCAACGGTCAGGAATGGTGCAAACGGAGGCACAGTACAAGTTTGTCTACATGGCCGTCCAGCATTATATTGCAACGGAGCAGAAGGAGCTAGAAGAGGAACAGGTAGTGGGACTTAGAGGGATTGGCTTGGTTGGATGTTAGAAGGAGACAGCATGGGATGCTCAGCCACTCCGAGGTGCTGCTAGAGAGAAGAGAGAGGGGGCCAGGAAGACAGTCCCATCCATCCGAGAGTGAAGAGAGAGGGGACAAGGAAGACAGTTCTATCCATCCCAGAGTGAAGAGAGAGGGGAGGAAGACAGTCCCATCCATCCCAGAGTGAAGAGAGAGGGGGCCAGGAAGACAGTCCCATCCATCCCAGAGTAAAGAGAGAGGGGGCAAGGAAGACAGTTCCATCCATCCCAGAGTAAAGAGAGAGGGGACAAGGAAGACAGTTCCATCCATCCCAGAGTGAAGAGAGAGGGGGCCAGGAAGACAGTCCCATCCATCCCAGAGTAAAGAGAGAGGGGACAAGGAAGACAGTTCCATCCATCCCAGAGTAAAGAGAGAGGGGACAAGGAAGACAGTTCCATCCATCCCAGAGTGAAGAGAGAGGGGGCCAGGAAGACAGTCCCATCCATCCCAGAGTAAAGAGAGAGGGGGCAAGGAAGACAGTTCCATCCATCCCAGAGTAAAGAGAGAGGGGACAAGGAAGACAGTCCCATCCATCCCAGAGTGAAGAGAGAGGGGGCCAAGAAGACAGTCCCATCCATCCCAGAGTGAAGAGAGAGGGGGCAAAGAAGACAGTCCCATCCATCCCAGAGTGAAGAGAGAGGGGGGCAGGAAGACAGTCCCATCCATCCCAGAGTGAGGGTGGGGGGCAGGAAGACAGTCCCATTCATCTCAGAGTGAAGAGAGAGGGGGCAAGGAAGACAGTCCCATCCATCCCAGAGTGAAGAGAGAGGGGGCCAGGAAGACAGTCCCATCCATCCCAGAGTGAAGAGAGAGGGGGCCAGGAAGACAGTCCCATCCATCCCAGAGTGAAGGGGGGGGGGCAGGAAGACAGTTCCATTCATCTCAGAGTGAAGAGAGAGGGGGTAAGGAAGACAGTTCTATCCATCCCAGATTGAAGAGAGAGGGGGCCAGGAAGACAGTCCCATCCATCCCAGAGTGAAGAGAGGGGGGGCAAGGAATACAGTCCATCCATCCCAGAGTGAAGGGGGGGGCAGGAAGACAGTTCCATTCATCTCAGAGTGAAGAGAGAGGGGGTAAGGAAGACAGTTCTATCCATCCCAGAGTGAAAGAGGGGCAGGAAGACAGTCCCATCAATCCCAGAGTGAAGGGGGGCAGGAAGACAGTCCCATTGATCCCAGAGTGAAGAGAGGGGGGCCAGGAAGACAGTCCCATCCATCCCAGAGTGAAGAGAGAGGGGGCCAAGAAGACAGTCCCATCCATCCCAGAGTGAAGAGAGAGGGGGCCAAGAAGACAGTCCCATCCATCCCAGAGTGAAGAGAGAGGGGGCAGGAAGACAGTCCCATCCATCCCAGAGTGAAAGGGGGGCAGGAAGACAGTCCCATCCATCCCAGAGTGAGGGTGGGGGGCAGGAATACAGTCCCATTCATCTCAGAGTGTGGGGGGCAGGAAGACAGTCCCATCCATCCCAGAGTGAGGGTGGGGGGCAGGAATACAGTCCCATTCATCTCAGAGTGAAGAGAGAGGGGGCAAGGAAGACACTTCCATCCATCCCAGAGTGAAGAGAGAGGGGGTAAGGAAGACAATCCCATCCATCCCAGAGTGAAGAGAGAGGGGGCCAGGAAGACAGTCCCATCCATCCCAGAGTGAAGAGAGGGGGCCAGGAAGACAGTCCCATCCATCCCAGAGTGAAGAGAGAGGGGGCCAGGAAGACAGTCCCATCCATCCCAGAGTGAAGAGAGAGGGAGGGCCAGGAAGACAGTCCCATCCATCCCAGAGTGAAAGGGGGGGGGGCAGGAAGACAGTTCCATTCATCTCAGAGTGAAGAGAGAGGGGGTAAGGAAGACAGTTCCATCCATCCCAGAGTGAAGAGAGAGGGGGCCAGGAAGACAGTCCCATCCATCCCAGAGTGAAGAGAGGGGGGCAAGGGAGACAGTCCCATCCATCCCAGAGTGAAGAGAGAGGGGGCAGGAAGACAGTCCCATTCATCCCAGAGTGAAGAGAGAGGGGGAAAGGAAGACACTTCCGTCCATCCCAGAGTGAAGAGAGAGGGGGCAAGGAAGACACTTCCATCCATCCCAGAGTGAAGAGAGAGGGGGTAAGGAAGACAATCCCATCCATCCCAGAGTGAAGAGAGAGGGGGCCAGGAAGACAGTCCCATCCATCCCAGAGTGAAGAGAGAGGGGGCCAGGAAGACAGTCCCATCCATCCCAGAGTGAAGAGAGAGGGGGCCAGGAAGACAGTCCCATCCATCCCAGAGTGAAGAGAGAGGGGGCCAGGAAGACAGTCCCATCCATCCCAGAGTGACACCCTTCCCTTGGTTGCCTTTTAGAGAAGTATGAGAAAGGAGAAAGAATACTTGAATATTCGCTACCCACCAATGGAGAAACCCAGAGGCAAAGCCCGTCCCCCTTCGCCGAGAGTCCAGATGGGGTAAGATGCAATAATTTCACATTCTTGCTACTGAATGTAAAAAGAATTTAAATAATTTAAAGACTCCAGGCTGAGAGAGGCCTCAGTCTGAGTGTTAGTAGGCCTCAGTGCGAGGTAGGCCTCAGTGTGTGAGAAACGTCCTTCTTTTCTGTTTGTTGTGACCTAGAGTCGAGGACGAACCGGCCGCCGTTTACGAGAACCTCAACGTCGTCGCCGCAAAGGTTTCAGGGATAACCCAGTCGGGGAGATAGCACCTCGGGACCCCAATGTTTACGGGGACGTACGTCTCTATTTGTGCCTGACCCTTCTTGTCTTTAATCTGATGGCAAAATATTCTACCAAGTTGACCTTTGACCTCTCCTTTGTGTTTATATTCCTAGGTCTCCCTGGGGATCCTCGCCGCAGGAGTTTGCCACCAACACGGTTGCTTATTTTACCACCGAACCACGTTCTTTCATTCCCAAAGCGCCTTCCCCAAAATGTCAGATAAGCCGGTCTTCGGAGAGCGACTCGTTAGGGACAAATCGTGGCCTAATTTATTCAGGAGAGATCCAACTCCAGCCCTGCCCTGTCCTTTTGACCGATTACTTGGAGTTGATCTGCAAGTGCCTCTGGACGTCTGTTGCTGAGTTTACGGATTTAATTTTACTTTGTTTTTCTAAATATATATATATATATATATATACAGAGAGAGAGAGATGCATCAACTTCGCAGTTACGTTGATGAATGTTTTGCGTTCGGGAAATGCTAAATGAGGGAAGATCGGGGTTGCTCTGAAATGTTTGTTCCAAATTTTTTTCAAAATGGATATCCCAGGGTTCCTTTCTCTCCTCAAATGTGCTTAAGCGTGAAGGGCTTTGTGCCTTGTGTACATTTTCCATTTTGCCATGCAAGAGCTGAGTCATAGCTGGATGTAGATCCCATGTCATCTTCGTTCTCACATCTATACACATAATAAAAGTGAAAATGTGCGTATGTGTGTATGTGGCGGAGGTGTCCACTTACACAGACAGCCACAGACATTATCCCAACCCCTGCCAATGCCGTCCCCAAGCACCAACCACCCAAGGAATGCTTTCATTCGGGGTCCATTTCATCCTAGATGTTCTGGTGTTTTCCCCTCCAAAATGGACATCCCAGGGTTCCTTTCTCTCTCCAAATTTGCTTAAGTATGAAGGGCTTTGTGCCTTGTGTGCATTTTCCATTTTGCCATGCAAGATCTGAGTCATAGTCGGATGTAAATCCCATGCCATCTTGGTTCTCACATCTATATCCCAAGGTTCCTTTCTCTCTCGAAATTTGCTTAAGTATGAAGGGCTTTGTGCCTTGTGTACATTTCCATTTTGCCATGCAAGATCTGAGTCATAGTTGGATGTAAATCCCATTCCATCTTGGTTTTCACATCTATATCCCAAGGTTCCTTTCTCTCTCCAAATTTGCTTAAGCATGAAGAGCTTTGTTCCTTGCGTACATTTCCATTTTGCCATACAAGATCCGAGTCATAGCCGAATGTACATCCCATGCCATCTTCGTTCTCACATCTATATCCCAAGGTTCCTTTCTCTCTCCAAATTTGCTTAAGCGTGAAGGGCTTTGTGCCTTGTGTGCATTTCCATTTTGCCGTGAAAGATTTGAGTCCGAGTCCAATGTACATCCCATGTCATCTTCGTTGTAACATCTATATCCCAAGGTTCCTTTCTCTCTCCAAATTTGCTTAAGCATGAAGGGCTTTGTGCCTTGTGTACATTTCCATTTTGCCATGAAAGATTTGAGTCCTAGCCGGATGTAGATCCCATGCCATCTTCGTTCTCACATCTATATCCCAAGGTTCCTTTCTCTCTCCAAATTTGCACTGCCTCTCACTTAACCCCTTCCTATGGCACACAGCAAACAGGAATTGATCTGCAACTGAACAAGAGGTTTGGGAAGATTTAGAAGAGTTGTAGTTCCCATACATTCAGAGAGCACTGTGAACCCAACCAATGATGGATCTGGACCACACTTGCTATGGATGGTGGGATTTGTAGTACCTTCACTCAGTTCCAGAGACCACTGCAACCTCAACGAATGACGGACCAGGACCACATTTGGGACCCAGAATCCCCCATGACCCACTATACATCCTGGTGTGGTTTGGGGGAGGATGGACCACGGACGATGGGATATGCAGTACCTTCACCTGATTTGCCTCCCACACTCCACTGCCACCGCCACGAATGACGGACCTGGACCAAACTTGGCACACAGATGATGGGATATGCAGTACCTTCACCTGATTTGCCTCCCACAGTACACTTCAACCACCACGAATGTCGGACCAGGACCAAACTTGGCACCCAGACCCCCTCATGACCCACGATACATCCTGGTGTGGTTTGGGGGCTGGATGGACCATGGGCGATGGGATATGCAGTACCTTCACCTGATTTGCCTCCCACACTCCACTGCCACCTCCACGAATGTCGGACCTGGACCAAACTTGGCACACAGACTCCCCCCGTGACCCACTATACATCCTGGTGTGGTTTGGGTGAGGATAGACCACGGACGATGGGATATACAGTACCTTCACCTGATTTGCCTCCCACGGCCCACTGCAACCCCCACGAATGATGGACCTGGACCAAACTTGGCACACAGATGATGGGATATGCAGTACCTTCACCTGATTTGCCTCCCACAACCCACTGCAACCTCCACGAATGACGGACCAGGACCACGTTTGGCACCCAGACCCCCTCATGACCCACTATACATCCTGGTGTGGTTTGGGGGAGGATGGACCACGGACGATGGGATATGCAGTACCTTCACCTGATTTGCTCCCACAGACCACTGCAACCCCCACGAATGATGGACCTGGACCAAACTTGGCACACAGACTCCGCATGACCAAGAGAACATACTGGAGATGTTTGGGGGAAATTGACCTTCATGGGACTTGTAGTTCACCTCCGCCCAGAGGAACTGTGACCTACACTGACAATGGATTGGGGCAAAACTTGGCACAGAGAAGCCCCATGACCAACTGAACATACTGCAGAGGTTTGGGGTAATGGACCTTGATGTTGGGAGTTGTAGTTCACCCTAATCCAGAGAGCCCTGAACCCAGACAACGTCAGATCTGGACCAAACCTGGCACACAAACCCAACTTGACCAACTGTGCATACAGGTGGGGTTTGTTGGGTTAATGACCTCTGATCTGGGAGTTGTAGTTCACCCTGCATCCAGAGATATTACCAAACTCCCCAAAGCAAACAATGCCTTTCTCAAGCTAGTATGGATATATAATATAGTTATCCTTGAACATTGCTAGCAGCGATCCACTTTGAATGGCGTAAACAAGCTCGCAATAAGTACGAACGTGGTGACCTTTGCTGAACATGAGTTTCCGAAAAGGTTCAGCAAACAGTCCTGATGAGTGACTCGGAACTGTGGATTTACGTATAATATATATATATTCCCCTCACATTGAGCACATCGGGAGGTGGTGGAATTGACTGCTGCCTGCTTAAAAGGATATAGATTGCTTTGCGGATGTCTTAATACTGAGGATTGCGAAACCACCAGGGAACAGACCACGGAGATGGTGGGGCTTCGGTGTTTTTCGTGCTTCAGAAAATCAGAGGCTCATCTACTAAGAAACGTAGAGAACTGAAGGGTTTGTTTTGTTTAGCTGTGGAATACAGAACGAACCCCCAACAGCATCATCAGAGCTCAGGAGCCTTTCCTTTTGGAAATTGATCGCGTGGCTTGATGGGGATTCTGTGAGCTATGGTCCAAAATACATTTTTGGTCTTTTCCCAACCTGATACCCTCCAAATTTGACTACCTTTTGGTTCCAATGTTGGGGAATTGTCCATGGTCAAGTGTTCCCTGGTCAAGTGGTCCCTCGTCAAAGGGGTTCCTGTTCAAAATTAGCTCTGGACAAGAGATCCCTGATTTGTGGTCACTCATCAAAGTGGTCCCTGGTCAAGTGGTCCCTCATCAAAGAGGTCCCTGGTCTACTGGTTCCATGTCAAAGTGGTCCCTCGTCAAAGTGGTTCCTCATCAAGTGTTCCCTGATAAAGAGGTCTCTGGTCAAAGTGTTCGCTGGTCAAGTGGTCCCTGCTCAAGTGGTCTTTGGTCAAGTGGTGCCTGGTCAAGTGGTCCTTTGTCAAAGGGGTTCCTGTTCAAAATTAGCTCTAGACAAGAGGTCCCTGGTTAAGTGGTCACTGGTCAAGTGGCCCATGATTAGTGGTCACTCGTCAAAATGGTCCCTGGTCAAGTGGTCCCTCATCAAAGAGGTCCCTGGTCAAAGTGGTCCCTGGTCAAGTGGTCCCTGGTCAAAGTGGTCCTTGGTCAAGTGGTCCCTAGTCAAGTGGTCCCTGGTCAAAGTGGTCCCTGGTCAAGTGGTCCCTGGTCAAGTGGTCCTTAGTCAAAGTGGTCTCTTGTCAAGTGGTCCCTGGTCAAGTGGTCCCTCATCAAAGTGGTCCCTGGTCAAGTGGTCCTTCATCAAAGAGGCCCCTGGTCAAGTGGTCCCTCATCAAAGTGGTCCCTCGTCAAAGTGGTCCCTCATCAAAGAGGTCCCTGGTCAAGTGGTCCCTCGTCAAAGTGGTCCCTGGTCAAAGAGGTCCCTGGTCAAGTGGTCCCTCATCAAAGAGGTCCCTGTTCAATGGTCCCTGGTCTAGTGGTCCCTCATCAAAGAGGTCCCTTGTCAAAGTGGTCCCTGGTCTAGTGGTCCCTTGTCAAAGAGGTCCCTGTTCAATGGTCCCTGGTCTAGTGGTCCCTCATCAAAGTGGTTCCTGGTCAAGTGGTCCCTCGTCAAAGAGGTCCCTGTTCAATGGTCCCTGGTCTAGTGGTCCCTCATCAAAGAGGTCCCTTGTCAAAGTGGTCCCTGTTCAATGGTCCCTGGTCTAGTGGTCCCTCATCAAAGTGGTTCCTGGTCAAGTGGTCCCTCGTCAAAGAGGTCCCTATTCAATGGTCCCTGGTCTAGTGGTCCCTCATCAAAGAGGTCCCTTGTCAAAGTGGTCCCTGGTCTAGTGGTCCCTTGTCAAAGAGGTCCCTGTTCAATGGTCCCTGGTCTAGTGGTCCCTCATCAAAGTGGTTCCTGGTCAAGTGGTCCCTCATCAAAGAGGTCCCTGTGTCAAAGTGGTCCCTGGTCTAGTGGTCCCTTGTCAAAGAGGTCCCTGTTCAATGGTCCCTGGTCTAGTGGTCCCTCATCAAAGTGGTTCCTGGTCAAGTGGTCCCTCGTCAAAGAGGTCCCTGTTCAATGGTCCCTGGTCTAGTGGTCCCTCATCAAAGAGGTCCCTTGTCAAAGTGGTCCCTGGTCTAGTGGTCCCTTGTCAAAGAGGTCCCTGTTCAATGGTCCCTGGTCTAGTGGTCCCTCATCAAAGTGGTTCCTGGTCAAGTGGTCCCTCGTCAAAGAGGTCCCTATTCAATGGTCCCTGGTCTAGTGGTCCCTCATCAAAGAGGTCCCTTGTCAAAGTGGTCCCTGGTCTAGTGGTCCCTTGTCAAAGAGGTCCCTGTTCAATGGTCCCTGGTCTAGTGGTCCCTCATCAAAGTGGTTCCTGGTCAAGTGGTCCCTCGTCAAAGAGGTCCCTGTTCAAGTGGTCCCTGCTCTAGTGGTCCTCGTCAAAGCGGTCCCTGGTCTAGTGGTTCCTTGTCAAAGAGGTCCCTGGTCAAGTGGTCCCTCGTCAAAGTGTTCCCTGGTCAAGTGGTCTCTCATCAAAGTGGTCCTTCACCAAAGAGGTCACTTTTCAAGTGTTTCCTGTTCAAATGTTCCCTAGTCAAGTGGTCCCTGGTCAAGTGGTCTCTGTTAAAAGTGGTCCCATGTCGGGTGGGACCTCGTCAAAGTGGTGCTTGGTCAAGTGTTCCATGGTCAAGAGGTTCTTGATCAGAGTGGTCCCTGGTCAAGTGGTCCCTCATCAAGGTGATCCCTGGTCAATTGTTCCCTGGTCAACAAAAGGCTGGGAACCACTGCATTGGGAAGCCAAGGAACTTTTCTCCTCCTCCTGAACATCTGACCTTCACACCGCCTCTCTCTCGTTTTGGCTGAGAACAATTTCCCTGACCTTGCGAAATGAAACAAAAGCGAGTCTCTGGAAACCACTATCCGTATAACAGCACCACACAGCACCATCGCTATAAAACTGAAATGTTTATTAACACATAAAAAATTAAATACGTCCTCTTTCCCAAAAGTCTAAGGCACATAATTATCCTTCCACCATAACTGATAACACTGGTCTTTGGTCGACGTCCAGAAGAGAAAGAGGCAATCACAGTCTTGTCTTAAGCTTGCGAAAGGTCTGCCCTTGTGTATTTTAGATGGTCATATGCAGTAAAAAAAAGAGAAATAGATCCGTATTTCCCAACCTTCCGAATGCCGTGACCCCTTAATACAGTCCCTCATGTTGTGGTGACCCCCAACCATAACATTACTTTCGTTGCTACTCCATATCTGTAATTTTGCTACTGTTATGCATCGTCATGTAAATATCTGACATTATGCAGGATGTATTCTCATTCACCGGACCAAATTTGGCACGAATAGCCCAAATCTGAATACTGGTGGGATTTATTTTGTCATTTGGGAGCTGTAGTTTCTGGGATTTATAGTTCACCCACAATTAAGGAGCATTCTGAACTCCACCAATGATGGAATGGAGCCAAACTTGGTACACAGGACTCCCATGACCAACAGAAAATATTAGAAGGGTTTAGCGGTCATTGACGTTGAGTTTGGGAGTTTTAGTTCACCTACATCCAGAGAGAGCTGTGGACTCAAACAATGATAGATCTGAGCCAAACTACGTACAGATATCCAATATGGCCAAATCTGAACATTGGTGGAATTTGGGGGAAGTAGACCTTGGCCCATGAGGTCTCTTCCAACTCTTTGATTCTATGATTCTATTTTGGAGTTGTTGCTGGGATTTATAGTTCACCTACGATGAAAGAGCAGAACTCCACCAAAGATGGAGTTGAACCAAACTTGGCACATCCAGAGAGTACTTTGGATTCAAACAATGATAGATCTCGACTAAATTTGACATAAATGCTCAATATGCCCAAATGTGAACACTGGTGGAATTTGAGGGAAGTAGACCTTGACATTTTGGAGTTGTAGTTGCTGGGATTTATAGTTCACCTACGATGAAAGAGCAGAACTCCACCAGAGATGGAGTTGAACCAAACTTGGCACATCCAGAGTGTACTGTGGACTCTAACAATGATAGGTCTGGACTAAATTTGGCATAAATACTCAATATGCCCAAATGTGAACACTGGTAGAGTTTGGGGGAAATAGACCTTGACATTTGGGAGTTGTAGTTGCTGGGATTTATAGTTTACATACCATCAAAGAGCATTCAGAACTCCACCAACTATGGAATTTAATCAAACTTGGCACATGGGACTCCCAAGACCAAGAGAAGGGTTTGGTGGGCATTCATGTTGAGTTTGGGAGTTGTAGTTCACCTACATCCAGAGAGCGCTGTGGACTCAAACAATGATGGATCTGGACCAAACTACATACAGATACGCAATATGCTCAAATGTGAACACTGGTGGAATTTTCGGGAAATGGACCTTGACATTTGGGAGTTGTAGTTGCTGGGATTTATAGTTCACCTACGACGAAGGAGCATTCTGAACCCCACCAATGATAGAATTGGGCCAAATGTCCCACACAGAACCTCGTGTCTTGAAGGGAATCACTGGTGTGAGCCTCCCTCCAGCCTCATACGCTCTCCTTCGCCTGCACATGCACATCACGCCTGCTCTCCCCTCCGTGCTTGGAGTCTCAGAAACATCTCTCCATTTTCAGCAGAGAAGGGCTTTTGGTGGAAGGCTTCACCATCTCTTTCCAAAAAGGAAGAGAAGGACAGGTGGAGAGATCCTCAGCCTTCTCAGCCAAAGGGGTTCCTAAGACTGTCCGAAATATATGTTTTCTGATGGTCTTTGGCGACCCCTCTGAAACCACTTGCAACCCCCTTTGTGGTCGCGACCCCCAGGTTGAGAAACACTGACCTAGTAGTTAGAGCAGAGGCCCTCACTGAAGGCAGAGATCTTCAACCTTCTCTGCCAAAGGGGTTCCTAAGACCATCAGAAAGATATATTTTCTGATGGTCTTTGGTGACCCCTCTGAAACCGCCGTGCAGCCCCCAGGTTGAGAAATGCTGGAATAGACTAAACCACAGCGTGTATACTGGAGGTATATTTATAAGAACAGGGGTTTAGATGCTACATCATCTTTAACATCATGGATGTGATGTGCCACCTTTCTAGTGAGTGGCAAGAATGTATAACAACACCCTTATGCAACAGGACTCATTGCACAGCTGGCCCTGGTTGTGGGGTCATCCTAAATATCTCCTGAGAATGCACATTGGTATTGAATCAATTTAAGATGGGCTCAAATCCAACCTTAAAAACTCTGGCATAGATACTGAGAACTGAGAAGCCCTGGTCCTTGAGTGCTCCAGATAGAGGTCAGCTGTGACCAGCAGTGCTGTAGAATTTGAAGAGGGCGAAAGAGAGAAATGTGCCAAAAGGAAGGCGCATCAAGCCAACCTCGACCAGGGCCACCTTCCGTCTGGAAACCAATGCCCTCACTGCGGGATAACATGCAGGTCAAGAATAGGGTTCCACAATCACCTACGGACACCGATCTTGGATGACAATCCTACTCAGACTATGAGGGATCGCCTAAGTAAGTACATACAGTGGCATTAATGCTTTGAATACATTCGAAGAGCGGCAAGAGCGGATCAAGTGGTAACATCGAGTCCGTGCGTTATGTCGGAACTGTTCACTCGTAAGAGTTAGTCCATCTGATTGCCAGAATTGTCTCACGCTGACTGGCAGCGTCTTAGGTGGAAGGTTTCCCTTGTCATATTCGAGGAAATATTATTGTTATTGAGCCGGGGAGTGAAGATGGGACCTCCAGATGCCGTGGTTGAGTAGAAGTCCGTTTCTCCCCACAACAACCCAGTGATTCCGGCCACGAAAGCCTTCGACGATACATCTTCCCACTTCGTTCCTGAGAAATCACCCCACATGCAGTGTCCGGTCACTCTGCAGGCTCCACAGAGCCCACTGTCGGGGCCGGGGTGGTGGGGTGATGATAGGTCACATAGCTGGGCCTGGACATGGTGTACGTCCTGGCGAAGCAGCGGAGGTTGCCCGTCTTCATGGCGCAGTGCAGCGGCCATAGGATGATGCAGAAGAGGATGATGATCAACACCGAGAGCAGCAGGACGCGCTTCCAGTCGTCGCACATTTCGCAGCGCGTCAGGCGCCCCATTAAAGTCTCCGGGGGCAACTGGGGGACCTCGGGTTTGCTGGGGGCGATGTCAATGCTGATGTAGTCGTCGGCGTTCTCTGGGTCGGAAGACTGCCTGCAGCAGATCTTGGTGCCTTCCATCCAGATCATCTTCTCTCGCTGGTGCTCAGGAGGCAGCGTAGCCATGAGGCCCTTGCTGGTCTGGAGGCCCGGCGGCCCTTCGAGGGGGATCTCGGTGATCTGGCGGCAAAACGGACACGGGAGTTCATCCTCGACACAGTTGCGGGGACGGGCCGCGGTGAGGCGGGCCAGACACTCTAAGCAGAAGGTGTGGTTGCACTGGAGGACCTTGGGGGTCTTGAAGAGGTTGTCGTAGGTGTTGAAGCAGATGGAGCACTCGATGGGAGAGGTGGGTCTGTCCGTGGGCGAGCCCAGCCGTGTCTTCCCGTCTACTGGGGAGCGGACCGGAGACCAGATGGGAGAGCAGATCTGAGACCGGATGGACGGAGAGGTTGAAGAAGAGACGGGAGAACAGACTGAGGAAGAGACTGGGGAACAGACCGAAGACGAGACTGGGGAACAGACCGAGGGCCTGCTTTCAGAGGAGTGGGAGGACGCGGAGGGTGAGGTGATGACAATGGGGCTGAGCGGGATGGGGATCTCATGGGGTGCAGCCGGGACCGGGCTGGTGGGGCTGGTAGGAGGGGAGTCCGGCACTTCCGTGCGCCATATCTGAGTGAAGCAGGACATGATGGAACCTGTGGAGAAACCAGAAGGAAGAGTGAGGTTTTGAGTGGAGGCATCAAAAAGTCATTTATGGATCCACCACCAAGACTGTATCTCTGGAAGGCAATCATACTCAGACACTGGACAATGCGTTGCTGTGAGTTTTCTGAGCTGTATGGCCAGCAAAGTTGGAAGTCAGCTATGGCCAGCAAAGTTGGAAGTCAGCTATGACCAACAGTGCTATGGCCCTAGAGCTGGAGGTCAGCTGTGACCAACAGTGTAATGGTCCTAGAGCTGGAGGTCATCTGTGACCAACAGTGCTATGGCCCCAGAGCTGGAGGTCAGCTGTGACCAACAGTGTTATGGTCCTAGAGCTGGAGGTCATCTGTGACCAACGGTGATATGGCCCCAGAGCTGGAGGTCAGCTGTGACCAACGGTGTTATGGTCCTAGAGCTGGAGGTCATCTGTGACCAACAGTGCTATGGCTCTAGAGCTGGAGGTCAGCTGTGACCAACAGTGCTATGGCCCCAGAGCTGGAGGTCAGCTGTGACCAACGGTGTTATGGTCCTAGAGCTGGAGGTCATCTGTGACCAACAGTGCTATGGCTCTAGAGCTGGAGGTCAGCTGTGACCAACAATGCTATGGCCCTAGAGCTGGAGATCAGCTGTGACCAACAGTGCTATGGATTTCAAGGAGGCACAAATAGAAGGGGCCAAGAAGAAGGCACCTCAAGCAAATGCTAGTCATGACTGCCATCCATCTGGAAACCTATGTCCTTAATGTGAAAGCCTGTGTGGATCCAGAAAAGTCTCCATAGTCATTTATGGATCCACCACCAAGACTGTATCTCTGGAAGACAATCATACTCAGATACTGGACAATGTGTTGCTGTGAGTTTTCTGAGCTGTATGGCCAGCAAAGCTGGAAGTCAGCTATGACCAACAGTGCTATGGCCCTAGAGCTGGAGGTCAGCTGTGACCAACAGTGCTATGGCCCTAGAGTTGGTGGTCAGCTGTGACCAACAGTGCTATGGCCCTAGAGCTGGAGGCCACCTGTGACCAACAGTGCTATGGCCCTAGAGTTGGTGGTCAGCTGTGACCAACAGTGCTATGGCCGTAGAGCTGGAGGTCAGCTGTGACCAACAGTGCTATGGCCCTAGAGCTGGAGGTCAGCTGTGACCAACGGTGTTATGGTCCTAGAGCTGGAGGTCATCTGTGACCAACAGTGCTATGGCTCTAGAGCTGGAGGTCAGCTGTGACCAACAGTGCTATGGCCCTAGAGTTGGTGGTCAGCTGTGACCAACAGTGCTATGGCCCTAGAGCTGGAGGTCAGCTGTGACCAACAGTGCTATGGCCGTAGAGCTGGAGGTCAGTTGTGACCAACAGTGCTATGGATTTCAAAGAGGCACAAACAGAAGGGACCAAGAAGAAGGCACCTCAAGCAAACTTGTCATGACTGCTGTTCATCTGGAAACCTATGTCCTCAATGTGAAAGACCATGTGGATCCAGAAAAGTCTCCACAGTCATTTATGGATCCACCACCAAGACTGTACCTCTGGAAGACAATCATACTCGGCCACTGGACATTGCATTGCTGTGAGTTTTCTGAGCCGTATGGCCAGAAAAGCTGGAGGTCAGCTGTGACCAACAGTGCTATGGATTTCAAAGAGGCACAAATAGAAGGGGCCAAGATGAAGGCACCTCAAGCAAACGCTTGTCATGGCTACCATCCATCTGGTACGCATTGTGACCCAGACCTGTGAGTCCAAACCTTCTCTGAGCAAAGGCTGTTTGTTGGAAAGACATACAGGAGTAAGGCCCAGGAGGTTTGGAGTTGTAGTTCACCTTCATCCAGAGAGCACTGTGGACTCAAACAATGATAGATCTGGGCCAAACGGCAAAAGTACTCAACATGGAATTTGGTGGAATTTGGGGAAAATAGACCTTGACATTTGGAAGTTGTAGTTGCTGGGATTTATAGTTCGCCTACAATCAAAGAGCATTCTGAACCACTCCAAGGATAGAATTGGGTCAAACTTGGCACACAGAATCCCCATGCCTTGAAGGGACTCGCTGAAGTGAGCCTCCCTCCAGTCTTGCATGCTCTCCCTCCCCTGCACATGTGCCGAGCATGCCTGCTCTCCCCTCCTCACTTGGAGTTTCAGAAACAGCCCTCCTCTTGACTGAGAGTCCAGCCAATCACAATGGAGGAGGGCTTTTTGGTGGGACGATTCTCCATCTGCCATGTGCCAAGCATGCCTGCTCTCCCCTCCCTACTTGAAGTCTCAGAAACAGCCCTCCCCTTAGCTGAGAAGCTGGTCAATCACAGCAGACGAGGGTTTGTGGTGGGAGGATTCGCCACCTGCCATGCGCCGAGCATGCCTGCTCTCCCCTCCCTGCTTGGAGTTTCAAAAACAGCCCTCCCCTTCTCTGAGAGGCCGGCTAATCACAGTGGAGGAGGGCTTTTGGTAGGAGGATTCTCCATCTTCCATGTGCCGGGCACGCCTGCTCTCCCCTCTCTGCTTGGAGTCTCAAAAACAGCCCTCCTCTTGACTGAGAGGCCGGCCAATCACAGCGGAGCAGAGCTTTTGGTGGGAGGATTCTCCATCTGCCATGAGCTGAGCATGCCTGCTCTCCCCTCCCTGCTTGGACTCTCAGAAACAGCCCTCCCGTTGGCTGAGAGGCCGGCCAATCACAGCGGAGGAGGGCTTATGGTGGGAGGATTCCCCATCTTTCATGTGCCGAGCACGCCTGCTCTCCCCTCCCTGCTAAGAGTCTCAGAAACAGCCCTCCCCTTGACTGAGAAGCCAGCCAATCACAGCAGAGGGGGGCTTTTGGTGGGAGAATTTGCCGTCTGTTTCCAAAAAGGAAGAGACGGACAGGCAGAGAGGTTCCATCATGTCGGCACATGTGCAGGGCAGGGAGAGCGTGCGAGACTGGAGGGAGGCTCACTTCAGCCATGACATCCAAAACAGTACCATCTGCCATGCACGAGAAGCAACACAAGAAAGCCGCTCCCCAGCATGTAAGTGGAAGCATCAGCCCACACACAACCCCACGCCTTGAAAGAACTCGCTGGCGTGAGCCTCCCTCCAGCCTCGCATGCTCTCCCTCGCCTGCACATTTAGCAAAAGCAGTGGGCGAGGGAGAGCATGCGAGGCTGGAGGGAGGCTCACACCAGTGAATTCCTTCAAGGCATGGGGGTTCTGTGTGGGAAGCAATGACATTCTTAGGTTTAGCGTTGCCACCTCAGGTTGCCATGAGTTCCACCACCACCTGTCACCGCTGAAGCAGGGCAAAGAAGAAACAAGCCAGAGTTGCGGAAGTAAAAGCATGCAAAAACATACCCCAGCCGGTGCTTCTCCTCAGCTGAGAAGAGAGGAGTGTTGCTGTCTCCATGAAATCTCCCAAGAGGGAATCTATCTGCCCTGCTTAGTGGTGGCAGGAGGTGGTGGTGGTGGTGGCCGTACCAGAGCCTAAGACAGACAGATAAGCCCATTTGACTGGGGAGAGTGGCAACAGACAGCTGAACATAGGCCTACTTAGACAATAAATTGTGAGAGCGGTCTCCCACGGGTGAGTCTGGACATGCGGGCTTATCTCTTAGCAAAGGTAAACGTTTTCCTTGACATTAAGTCTAGCCGTGACCGACTCTGTCGGGTGGTGCTCATCTCCATTTCGAAGCCAAAGAGCTGGCGTTGTCCGTAGACACCTCCTAGGTCATCTGTCCAGCAGGACTGCATGGAGGACCGTTACTTTCCAGCCGTAGCGGTACCTACTGATTTACTCACATTGGCATGTTTTCGAACTGCTCGGTTGGCAGAGGCTGGAGCTAACTGCGGGAGCTCACCCCGCTCCCCGGATTTGAATCAGTGACCTTTTCCCGAATGAAGCAGAGAGTGTTTGAGGACCGGGACATCCATAGGGAGACCAAGGGGCTTGTTTATAAACCTATTTCCACTCCCTTGGCAGCCACCTCTCCACAAAAGTCAACATTGACATTGAAATACAACACCCCTGAGCTCTGCGAGTGCAGCATTTTTCTGAATGAAGCAGAGAGTGTTTGAGGACCAGGATATCCGTATAGAGAACAAGGGGCTTGTTTATAAAGCTATTTCCGCTCCCTTGGAAGCCACCTCTCCACAAAAGTCAACATTGACACTGAAATACAACAAAGCCTGAGCTCTATGAGTGCAGCATTCTTCCAAATGAAGCAGAGCGTGTTTCAGGATTGGGACATCCGTAGGGACACCAAGGGCCTTGTTTATAAAGCTATTTCCGCTCTCTTGGCAGCCACCTCTCCACAAAAGTCAACATTGACATTGAAATACAACACCCCTGAGCTCTGCGAGTGCAGCATTTTTCCAAATGAAGCAAAGAAGGTTTGAGAACTGGGACAACCATAGGGAGACCAAGGGGATTGTTTATAAAGCTATTTCCACTACCTTGGCAGCCACCTTTCCACAAAAGTCAACATTGACACTGAAATATAACACCACCTGAGCTCTGCGAGTGCAGCATTTTTCCGAATGAAGCAGAGAGTGTTTGAGGAACCGGGACATCTGTAGGGAGACCAAGGGGCTTTTTTATAAAGCTATTCCCCTCCCAACCCTGCTATACGCTTGCAAGACGTGGACTATCTACAGACGTCACATGCAACTCCTAGAACGACTCCATCAGCGCTGCCTCCGAAAAATCCTGCAAATCTTTTGGGAAAACAGGCGGGCATATGTCAGCGTGCTAGAAGAAGCAAAGACCACCAGCATTGAAGTGATGGTCCTCTGCCATCAACTCATCAGCATTGCCTCCGAAAAATCCTGCAAATCTCTTGGGAAGACAGGCGGACAAACGTCAGCATTCTGGAAGAAGCAAAGACCACCAGCATTGAAGCGATGGTCCTCCGCCATCAACTCATCAGCATTGCCTCCGAAAAATCCTGCAAATCTCTTGGGAAGACAGGCGGGCATATGTCAGCGTGCTGGAAGAAGCAAAGACCACCAGCATTGAAGCGATGGTCCTCCGCCATCAATT